CTGTACGCCAAGTTGAGTAAGTGCGAGTTTTGGCTTTCCAGCATCTCCTTTTTAGGGCATGTGATTAATGAAGAGGGTATATCAGTTGATCCGAGTAAGATTGAAGCCATTGTGAATTGGCCGACGCCGACCAACGTGTCCGAGGTTCGTAGTTTTGTAGAAAGTTTGTGAAAGACTTCTCGAGGATAGCAGTTCCATTGACACAACTAACTAAGAAAGGAACAGCATATGAATGGACTGATGATAGAGAATCAGCCTTGCAAGAGTTGAAGACGAGGTTAGTTACGTCACCAGTTCTTGTACTCCCATCAGGTAATGAGGAATTCCAGATTTTCAGTGATGCTTCACATAAGGGTTTGGGTTGTGTATTAATGCAAGGGGGCAGAGTCATAGCATATGCATCTCGTCAGTTGAAACTTCATGAAAAGAACTATCCAACCCATGATCTTGGGCTAGCAGCCGTGGTGTTTGCTTTGAAGATTTGGCGCCACTACTTGTATGGAGCCTCTTGCCAAGTTTTTACGGATCACAAGAATTTGAAGTACTTGTTCACCCAGAAGGAACTAAATTTGAGGCAGAGAAGATGGCTTGAATTATTGAAGGATTACGACATGCAGATTCAGTATCATCCAGGCAAAGCAAACTCGGTAGCCAACGCCTTGAGTGGGAAGTCAGTGGGAAGTTTGGCATGCCTAGCAATGATTTCAGTGGAGCCGACTACTATTGGGGAAGTAAAGGCAAGGAAAATGGAGGATGGATTCCTGAAGAAGGTAGTAGACGAGATTACCACCAGGCCGAGGTCGGGTTACGCCCTTGAGAATGGAGTGCTTAAGTTTGAAGGAAGATTGTGCGTGGCCGACATCCCAGAATTGAAAAGAAGGATTTTGCAAGACTCTCTTGGATCCAGATTTGCAGTTCATCCAGGGAACACCAAGATGTACCAAGATGTAAAATAGATCTTTTGGTGGCCGAATATGAAAAGAGAGATAGCCGAGTTCGTGTCTCAGTGTTTGTATTGTCAACAAGTGAAAGCGGAACATCAGAGGCCGGCAGGACTTCTCCAACCTTTGCCGATTCCTGAGTGGAAATGGGAAGACATCTCCATGGACTTTGTGATTGGTTTGCCGAAGACATAGAAAGGAATGGATTCGATTTGGGTTATAATCGACAGGTTAACTAAGTCAGCGCATTTCTTGCCGGTTAGAACTTTGTTCAGTGCTGATCGACTTGCTGTGTTGTATATGAATGAGATCGTTAGACTTCATGGGGTGCCGATGTCCATCGTGTCAGACCGGGATCCAAAATTTGTTTCTAGATTTTGGCAGAGTTTACAAAGGGCTCTGGGGACCGAATTGAGGTTTAGTACAGCTTTTCATCCCCAGACCAATGGCCAAACAGAGAGAATAATCCAAACCCTTGAAGATATGCTTAGACTGTGTGTATTGGACTTCAAGGGAAGCTGGGAAGTGCATTTGCCATTAGTAGAGTTCGCTTACAACAACAGTTACCAAGCTAGCATTGGCATGGCGTCGTATGAAGCCTTGTATGGGAGGAAGTGCAAATCGCCGATATGTTGGACCGAAGTAGGAGATAAAGCTTTGATCAGCCCCGATTTAGTTCAAAGGACAACCGAAAAAATTAAGCTTATCCAACAGAGAATCAAGACCGCTCAGAGCCGACAGAGGAGTTACGCCGACCAGAGAAGAAAGGAGTTAGAATTCGAAGTAGGGGATCATGTATTCCTGAAAACCTCGCCGATGAAAGGAGTTTCAAGATTTGGGAAGAAGGGTAAATTGACACCCCGTTACATTGGACCGTTTGAAATTCTTGAGAAAGTTAACTCGGTTGCCTACAGACTTGCTTTACCACCGAGATTAAGTCAAGTCCATAATGTGTTTCATATCTCGATGTTGAGGAAGTATGTATGAGATCCACTGCACATGATTGATCATTTCGAGATTGTGGTTGATGAAGGCCTAAGCTACGAAGAGGAGCCGATACGCATTATCAACAGGCAAGTGAGGCGATTGAGAAATAAGGCAATACCGATGGTGAAGATTGAATGGAAAGAGCATTACGGCAAGGATGCTACGTGGGAAATGGAAGAGGAAATGAAAGTCCGATACCCGGAGTTATTCTCGAATCAAGGTAACTCAAGTTTGGGGACCAAACTTCTTTAAGGGGGGTAGGATGTAATAACCCTCACGCTATCCTAACCATACTCATATGCATTCATGTGATTCTGTCTTGTGAACTTGCATTTCGAGTCTTGTCCTTGTTCGTTTAAGTGTTACAGCATGTTTTGTATCTTGCTGGTGTGAGTTTAGCCGAGGTCATTTTCAGTCTAGAATTATCTTGGAACCACTTTGTTTGACCTCCACCTACGCCTTGACATACTGGCCGAGATGTTATTATCTAGGCTGAGGTGTTCATCACCAAGGCCGAGGTGTGTATCATCTAGGCCGAGATGTTACCTTTGCACCTAAGTGATCTTGTCCCAGAGTGGTACGACCTAGACCGAGGTGTGGCACATCTAGGCCAAGGTGTGGTACAGCTTAGTTAAGTGTTGTCCTTCCTAACCAAGGTCATTGTTTCCTTACTTGCCGATGCCTTGCTTTCAGCCGAGATCATTGCCTACCGAAGTGCCCATGCCATCTTGCTTGTTGAACACAACTTGTCATTGTTTTGTCTTATCACTCAGCCACCTTTTTGTGTAGCACCAACCAGCCGCTGCCACGTGCCGCTGTAGAGGGTTAAGTCAACCAGCAGACCTAGAAATGTATCATTTTGCTATATGTCTTTGTTTGTGAGGAGAGAGGAGCTCTAGAAGAAGAACAAGGAGTTTTAGAGTGAGAGAGTGGGACTTCGAGCTTGATTCCTAGAGATCAAACCGTTAGATTCGCGTATTAAGGTTAGACTCTTGATTTACTCTTGTCGTTCTTATTGATCATCTTGCTACATTGCACGATCGAACCTGTTCTGCATGTCATGCATCGATTTAAAGTTGGTTTTAGAAAAAGAAAAATAGTGTTCATGTGTTCTTGAAGAAAAAGTCTTGTTTGATCTGAAAGTTTGCATTAAGATACATGTTTTTATGTTTGTTCTCACAAGATCCTTGAATATGGGTACCCAGGTCCATGTTTTTGAACTCATAGCATGAAATCTAAGATTTTGTAACAGCAAATTGTGATCTTGCATTCATCTTCCTCATGTTCATGTTCTTCATGTTCATCGTGTTCTTCAAGAGAGGGAAACCCAGATTTTTCCCGACTTCATTTCTTTAATGTGGCCATCGAGGCCCCACCTCGGCAAGGGGGTGTGGAACCTCGGCCTAGACCTGGTAGTTGCCCAGCATGTTTTCCCGAGATAAAGAACTGTGTTTGTTTTGATTCGACTTAGTCTTAAGGAATGCCGAGATCATCTGCATGCATGTGAAACTTGTTTGAAGGTGCATTCAACAGACTTTGCCATGTGTTTGTAGGGTTTGGACTTGCCTTGACCCCGACGTTTGAAGAACTATGTGAGTGGTATTTTTAATAAAGCTATGTTATAATGCTTTGATAAAAGTCTTGTTTCGCTTCGTTTTGGAAAGTATTTGTAAGCATGAATGGTTATTCCTAATTGGAAAATATATATATATATATTCTTGTTTTGATGACATTCTTGGAAGTCCGTACATGCTAAGGGACTATAACCGTTTGTAGCACAAAGTTTGGAAGTCCGTACGTGCTAAGGGACTATAAGCATTTGTAGCACAAAGTTTGGAAGTCCGTACGTGCTAAGGGACTATAAGCGTTTGTCGCACAAAGTTTGGAAGTCCGTACGTGCTAAGGGACTATAAGCGTTTGTAGCACAAAGTTTGGAAGTCCGTACGTGTTAAGGGACTATAAGCATTTGTAGCACAAAGTTTTGAAATCCGTACGTGCTAAGGGACTCTAAGCATTAGTAGCACAAGTCCTTAGTGTCAGGGGACTATAATGCAACGGCACCATTGAATTGAGATATCTCCCTTGTCATGTCTTGTCTTGCCTTGTTTGCCACTGACGGTTTACCGCGTGGGTTTGTTTGCCGAGATGCCATTACTTGTATTATAATGATGTTAGTAAGCATCCCTTGAAACTTGACAGATTTGGAAGATGGACTTGGTTCATCCCTTGACTTGCACTAGTTATGTTATGTATTGTTTGATAAAGATCTTGAATACCAGTCATGCAAACCCCTTTATTTCTTATACCATTCACTGAGTATCCAAGCTCACCCTCTCTATATATATATGTAGGTGATGAGCAGGAAGGCGGTGACGCCTAGGTGTGACTCGCAAGCTTGTTTTGGGTTTTGTTTATGTCGGCCTAACTTGTATTCACGTCGGCAGTCTTGAAAATTATGCTTCTCGGCTTATAATGCTTGTA